GACGTCCCACACGCTACGCTACGAGTAGAGGATGAGTGTCCAATAAAGCGACACTCATCAAACCTAGACTTAATGAGCTCAAACTTTTCCCACAAGGAGCCGAGATTTCTACTCAATTCCGTGAAACCATAACGGGTCTCCGTGCAAAGTTTACAAAAGTCAATGTCCCGCTGCCTACAGTCAGGACATGACCATCTTAAGCCTTTAGACGGATCAGCGACTGCGTCAGCAGCACGGCCGAGAATACCTGCACACTTTGCATGACCAAAGCGCTCGCAGAGCCAACAAGAAACGAATCTATCAGAATCCGGGCCTGATTTCGCCCGACAAGGTGTATATAAACACTCCATGTCCTATCAAAAAGACAGTTGTGGATTAGGAAGAGCAGACACACAAATCACTAAAAAAATCCTGAACATAAAAATTTATCAACCAATTTGTGCAAAACTTCTCTGTTAGGTTGACACTGTAACGAGAGATCAATAGCAACACAAACTCCAAACAGCAAAAAAATAACAGAGAAAAAGAGAGAAAACAAAAAAAAATAAAAAAGAGAGATTTATATCAGAGCTCAAAATTTTTGTTTGCAAAAATCAAATGAATCAAAGCGTAAAGGAAAAATATTTCTTTTACTTTGAATTCACTCACTTTCTTCTCAAAGTATATGGAAAACACATAAAGAAAAGTATATGGAAAAGTCACATAAAGACTAAACATCAACAATTTCACTTAAATTCTAGGAACCTATTAGTTAATTCGTTCAAAATCTCAACTTAATTTAAGAAATAAAGGCATCTTATGCAAGAAAGTCCTCAAATCTGTGAGGAATAGTCGGTAACTCTAATTATTTCTTTTGGAAAGATTTTTGGAAAGATTAAATAAATAAATAAACATAAATTAAACATGTAATAAAAAAAAAAAGTAAGAAAGTTCCATTCCGAATCCTGTGTACCCACCATCATTGAAATCTTTAGCGCCATAGAAAAGCTAATGGGATAAGTTTTATCTTTCACTTTTTACTGCGCTAAAAGTTATTGCTAAGAAAAACTAATCTACTAGATCGTGACGTCCACCGCAATTAATTTACAATTAATACACTTATCTCGTCGTCTTCTACTCTCCAACTGCTTTCATTTGATATCCTTTTCGATCGAAAAATCAATCCGCCACGTCGTGGTGTCTCCCATATTTTTGTATAGAAGCAGATAATATATCTTCATTTGAGGAACATACACAATAATTTTAAACATTCTGTTTTGTTTATTTTATCATTAATAAGCATAAAACCTCAAAAAAGTGAAAAAAGGAGAAAACTTAATCACTTATAATTTTGTGCAGTCATGGCCGATTTTTTACATTTTTGCACATAAACAATAGTTCTTCGTCAAGCAAACGTTTTATATTTCAGGTTTCTATCTTTTATAACTTGTTGAGTAATGAGCAGAAAAACACAAAGTTTGGTACAGAAGAATGGATTTGCGTTCAGTTTAAGTGGGTTTATTCTCTGACTAATTTAGCCCGTTTTCAGTAACTGCGCGTAAAAATTTCCAATGCTTCTACCAAATTTGAAGCCGATATCTTGATTTTATCGACCAGGAGAGCGCCAACAACACGTCACGCAGACGTATTACTGGCACACTAATCTTTTAGCTTATTATGCTATTTTATTCTTAAATAAAGTCAAACAGAAAAATCTAAATACGCTTTAGTTTCGACGTTTGCATCTATGTGAAAATAACAATCCATTTGAATTGATTAAGAAAACGGAAGGATGTCTTTCGATGTGTTTATTTTATATCGTTCACGCTCTCTTGTTTTTCCCCGATCATACACTGTGTTTGCTTTTGCTATTATGTCTAGATTAGCGTAACATCTGGCTTCATTCTTCATGAATAAATAGAAAATAAGCGTTATCTAAAAATATTAATATAAAAGTGACCTCGGATGATTTTAAAGAATGAAATTTATTATTATTATTATTATTATATTTTTTTAGATTTACGAAATAAATTCTTAGAGTAAATAGAAAACTTTCAGCACTAGCACATCTATCATCTTTATCGTAGGAAAGAAAATTAGATATTGAGCCTACTACTTTCAATATAGTAGAATATTGTATTAATTGTCACCAAATTCAGAGTCGCTTTTTTAATGCAACACGTTGGCGCCAAGTAGACTCGCTCTTTCAATTCTTTCGGAATTGTCACCAAATTCGGACTCGCTTTTTCAATCCTTCTTAATTGTCACCAAAAATACTTTGCAATTGTAATGTACCTCATGCGATTAAGAAGTTAACAGAACAAATAAATAAAATTAAAAAAAAACCGTTCGTATGTAAGTTTGTGTTTACCGTACTCTTCTTAAACGTTTAATACCTTATGGTAATGAGAGCGACATTAGATATAATGTCAGCAAATAGGGAAAACAGCGGGTTGGTTGCCCGTCGTTATACATACTTCCACTTTGACTTCCACGAAGTTCATTTGCCAAGCCCGAGACGAGACCAGTTTAAGTTCACGTCTTCTATTTTATTGGATGGATCCGTTAATATCGAAGAGTGCTGCTGGCAATCTAAAGCGTTCGATCTATCGGATGCTTTATATATATCTCGATTTAGTGAACTTTTTCAAACTAACAAACTAACATTTAAGTTATTGAAGTCAAAGTAAGATATTGATTTTTTATATTGGCGTTAAAAAGTAAATTACACTAGAATTCGCAGGCATGGCTTAATCAATTCAGAATTTCATGTTGATCAAGAATATGTATACTTTAGAGTCTCCGAAGCTTCCTTTTGGGTGTTGCGAACAGAAACAAAATGAATATACTCTCCATCCTTTAGTGGTAGATATAAAAAAATACCTTATTATGTAAACGCATATGTCAAATTAGCTTGCGTTTCGAGCTGTAAAATGCAGGGTGCTGTTAATAGGTGTGTCAGATATGTCTTCAATTAAATCAAATATAATACAATATTTCAGTTTTCGCTTAACATTTTGGATTCCGATGCTCCACCTTGCCTTAATATGAAAAACGTACTTTTTCTTCAAAAGCTCAATCGCTCTCAAATGCCAAGATATTTATTTACATGTTTATATAAACGCATTCTTCACTCTTCTGCAATTTGTTCAGTGCAACCTTTTCATTTCCGTTCATTTTTTTCTCTTGATCTTCGCCTTCAAAATTTTTCGTTCAAGTCCCCTTGGTTAAGCAACACCCTTTGGTTCTCCTTTCATGGTTCTTCTTTCATGGTTAACGGTAACGAACGTCTTTACTTTCGTTTATATTTTTAGTATTTACTAACCTGAAGTAAGCTGCTTAGCAAACAAGATAAAAATAATTCCGATGTATATAAATCTCACATTTGTGTTTCTGATAAAAACGGAACTAACTTTTACATTCACTCTTCGTTTCATTCTTCATTGTTGGTCTTTTGGCACAGCTTGTACAAAATCTCCAAACAATTTATTATTATAGCGCGATCTGCGGTTGCACATGCACATAAATTATTTGAGAAGAATATACCTTTTGCATCTGCATTAGTTGAAAAAACCCACATATTCTGATATTCGAATTTTATTTTTTTAGTTTCACCCAAAATTTTATTATCCACCGAGCCGTGAATGCGATGCAATAACTCGGCATTACAACCATATTATTCTTTTTGGTAGCCCATTTCTTAAATATTTATAGAGGTGAATCTGCATGCCTCATCCCAAGTCTAGCAAAAACCAATAAAGATTCTGAACTTGATTGCTACTAGCACCATTAGTTCAAAAGTATTAGATGGAACAAGCAATTACGTAATACATATTAAAATATAAAAAAATAACAAACAAAACATCCAGTGAACCGCAAAATTAAATGCCTTCAACAACTTTAAAAACACAGCGTTATTAATATTGAGTTTTTTTCGTATAAGGAAGGATATAAACAAAATAGGTGGCATATTAATAAATGTTGATATTTGGTGGTGTTTCTTTTTTGCTTAATAACGCAATTTGAACGTTTTAATATATTTCGTATAATTTTTCTTGTGTAGGAAGCAGGGATCTCGCTCCATTCTTCTTATAATTTGTTTTCCAGATCTTTGACGGAAGAGATTGAGTAATTGTTAGGTGATTTATTTTAGGCTATACATCAAGTCTGTGCTTTTCCTTGTTGTCTATATCTTTGTCTTTTCTGTTGTTTCCAAATGTGCCGATGCGAACCCTATAGTCTTACTGGCACATTAATTTTTAATTGTAATAATGAGCATTATTGTATAATTGAGTTTTCGTTAATAATTATTAATATTAATTAATAAATTAAATTCAACTTAACTAAAGTTTTCGTAGGGACGACTATACAAAAGTTATGTAGAAGTGAAGTGATAAGTTGAAATAATATTACTCAGCGGTTTTTATTGAGAAATTTTAAAAAGTCTAAAGATTTTCATATTCAAAATATAAATACTCAAAATAAGACGTTCTTTTGGCAGCGGCTGTAAAAGCAATCTGATATGAAACGTTTTCACACTCGAGCCACAAAACTTCAATCGATAACACTTCGTAAAAATGATTCAAAAATTGTGCCAAAATACTTTGTCAGAGATCAGTCAGACGGAAAGACATATTGAAGCTGATTTAGAAAATGATTCGGAATCGATCGTTAGAATAAAATTTAAGTTTATCTTAAGGCTTGAAGTGAATATTTACTTTAATTTCATTTGGCACATATTGCCTATTTAACCGTAACGTTTTATTTGGGTTCCTTTGAAAAAATTGCGATATGTAACATTTAACAATCTCACTCCAACCAACTTTTGGGTATAAGTGCGACTGTATAGCTATACAGTTCTTGTGATTGGCTGGGTTCCAATATCAGACAAAAAAGACTTAAGCAGTGCCAGCGAAGGTATTAAAATTAAATTAAAAGTTTAATCGATTCTTTTTATCTTTATTGTTGCTATATTCGAAGTAGGAGTTTAAAAGAAATGTTTTTTTGCTCTTTTAATATAATAAATATTGTTTATAGAAAATATACTTTTATTGAATGATGTTTATTTTCTTCTCGTGTGCGCAACCAATTCCTCCGCTCTTCTGATTTTCATTTAGCTTAAAAGAAGAGATCACTAAATATGTCCTCTTGCGGATGGTGTGAGAAATGTTGGTGAGGTCTTTGCGGTTGTTGCGATTGTCGGCTAGAGGGGACTACGATATCGTTCATTTCGTGTATTATCCCATTAGTAGCCATAGCATCGCACTTAGTAATGCCAGCGTTTTGTATTTTGGGACGACGGTCTCGGGTAATGCGTAAATGATGACCATTCAGTGATTCAATAGATCTCACAAATGGCCAGTTGGTCGGAATAATACCGGCGCAGCAAATCACATCATTAACAATATGAGTTTTAATGAGACTTTCCAATTCAGTGGGCTCCTTAGTGACGTTCTCGTCCAGTTCTTCGAAGACATCGTTTTTAGGCACTAAAAGAGTGTAATCTTCCTCGGGATTAACGAGTAAATTGGTAAGATTAGCTGCTTGAACAAGTTCCAAAAATTTGCTATAATTAGGATTATTTTGCAGCATCTCCAATAGATTCATTTTCGGAGGAATCAATGGTTTATCTACTTGATGCAAGACCGAGCCACAGCTTTCATCATCGAAATGCACAAGACGAGCACAATTGGCGGTAGCGCGATTCATAACGTTTGTGAACAGTGAATGAGTAGAAAACAAGTGGATACGTACGTTGCCTCCTCCTATTGTTGGCATTAGTTGTTCTTTCAGGTCGCATGTCTTTGTCATCGGCTTGGTTACGTGATAACTTAAAAATTCATTAAGATTCCTATTATTTATCAGCTGTTCTGGATTCTCTTCCAACATTTTCGACCATTCGGTGCTCTCCAAGGCTTTATCAGTAGGAGCGAACATTGTTAAATTATCCATATCGTCGAAAGCATTATCCAACCCAGAAATTTCCAGCAAACGTCTGAATATAGTGACGTTTTTTTCTTGCATAAGCGAAGATAAAGGCAAAGCGGTCTCTGTAGGCATAATAGTATCTATAACATGCACAACGCCATTTGTTCCCATAATATCAGTTTCTACGACCTTCGCTACACCGTTAATTACAATGGGTTGAGGTTGTTCTATTTCACCGCCATGCGTAGATCGATTGAACCGCATTGGTTCACCTAGTAAGTTGTAAGCGGTAGTCTTTGCCCCAGGCACTGAAGCAATTGAGCAGAAAGTTAAATCAAGCATGTGATTCTTAAGTATATCTACACAGTTAAGGAATAAAAACCAGTTAGCATCAATTTTTGGATTTTATTCAAACGAAACCTACTTGAAGCACAGCCCTTGCCTTCTTTTAAGACACGTCGTAAATGTGATTCTAGTTTGTCAAAAGCATCATCAGTGGGTACAAAGATGGTCAACGGTTTTTCCCCTTCCAATAAATCGCTTAATTTAGTCTTTTCAAGTACAGTACGCATAATTGACATATCTCTACGGTCGCGTATGATATCCATTAAATTCTTATTGACAGGTTTCATAATTCCATCCAAAGTATGGATCATACCTTGCTCGGTTGACTTATCGTGTTTTAAAATGGGTACACAGTTGGCCGTATAACGATAGGGTTCGGGGCTGAGTGATAAAGGCACTTGATAGCTGTTAATGCGTATATTCTGCCCGCCGACTTGTGTTTTAAATAGTTGTTCATTACGTACTTCATCCATGCTAACTTCACCATCAACAACATGACGTAAGAATAATTTCTTCATACCATCGTCGTTTTGCTTTTCCACCAAATTCTAAAAGCAACAAATTAACTTAATTCCAAAAATACTAATCAACAATGCATGATTAATTACACTTTCACTTTGCAATAAATCTGAATAGCTGCTGAAGGCTTCATCTACAGGCAAAAACATGGTAAGGTTTTTACGTGACATTATCATGTCATTTAGTCCACTATTTTTCGCTTTGATCACAAAGTCTTTGGCGCCTACGTCGGCTGCGGTAGATTCTACATCTTTTATCTCGATTTTATCACATGGCGTAGCATAAGCAGCATTCCGTGGACGTCCGTAACCATGACAGCATTGTCTGGTAATGGTTAAGGTTTTTTTCCGGCCGTTCTTGTTAACGCTAAGCAAATAAAACATATTTAATTTATTTTACGTGTATATTATATGATGATGACACATACACTCGCTTGCATATATATTTGCTTGGCTTTTCTACACAGGAGTTCATGCTGAAGTGGAACTGTCCAAAGTATGGCTGTTTGACTTGAACAGTAGTGTCAGTGCCATCGGCAGTTTCAGTTTCTTCGTTTCCATCATTTTCATCCATAACCTTTTCATCTTCCTCTTTCTCAGTGCATACGTTCGGGCTAAAAGTAATAACGAAAGGTAAACTTTTAGTTTAAGTGAGCAAAAAAAAGGGTTAAAAACATTATTGCGAACGCGGATCGTTGAACTAAACGAAGGTGACCAACTAAGAAAATTATATTCACCTGTAACGGTAATTTTTATTTATACCTAGTGCCTTAATCATAAGAAAGATAAAATTCATAACGAAAAAGTGAAATTTTCACACTTGTAGTGACCAAAAATCCAGAAAACGGAGGTACTCCGAGTTTATGTTGATCATTACATGTGCTCTTGGGCCGATTTAGCCCATTTACAATACCAACTTGCGTAAAAAAATATCCAATGTTCTTCTCAAATTTAAAAACTATATATTTCTTTTTGCGAACGGAAAAGTGTAAACTGAGAACGTTTCTATCCTAAAAACCTGGAAAATTGTCTTTTTTGCTTCTTATTCATGTGGTATAACAAATATAACTTATAACACGAAAATTTTCATGCATAGCCTATGTTTGATCCTATAACTCCTGTTCAAAAATAAGAAGTATAAGTCACGCTCACAAAATATTATAGCTCGTCAAAGTATCTTGTACGTCTTCTGTGAGTTATCGAATCAACAACCGATGTTGTTAGTTGTTCATCGTTAAGTAAAGCAAAAAAGGTTCAATATGAACATGATATTAATAAAATTGACAGATGACTTGATTACAAATGTATACAGATATGTACATATTAAGCAGGTTATGATCTCCATCACGTAACTATTGTCCTTCCCGCAAATTGTTCTGATATTTTCTTTTTCTTCAAAAGATTCCAAGATGTTAGAGCGCAGAGATTACAAGATGAATTTCGCAGCGTAAGCATTGATAGGGTGCTAGTGTAAGGAAGTGTCGCGTGAAAAAAGGGAAAAGTTCAGAAAGTAAAAGAGTATGTGAAGGAGAAGATCAATAAAGTGTATCTGCTCCAGCTCAAAATCAAAATCTGCATTGATTTAAGTATGTCTGTTCGTTCACCTAGCCACAAAAGCGAAACTGTTCGACTTCAACTTCAAACGTGACAGAAACAATGGAAATTCTTGCACACAGATTAACATTGAAAATTGCCCAAATATTGCATAAAAATTCCATTTTTTGTCCATACAAGAAGGAAGCCTTAAAATATGAGACTTGTCTAAATCGTCTTGTAATCTTTCGCAAATTAAGATGCGCATTGTTAGCATATTTCCTACACGTGTATCAAAATTGTTTGTTCATTTCATATTATCGTATATTATTTATTCGGCACGGTAATTACGCGTTTCCATCTGAAAGGAAACGCATTGTCACCTTTCTACATTAATAAGCTTCGGTAAAGTCGTAATTAAAACAATGTCAAGTCTAGGAAACGATCGACATTTTCCTGACTTAACCATTATTACTTTTTACATCCATATTTTCTCTTCTTGTCCTTTTCACGGAGGCAAAGAAAAATTATTTAGTTTTGATGAAAGCGTAACTACAACAAATGAATACCGTATGCTTATATGCCTGCATATTTTTACATCCATAAATAAAAGAAGAAATGATAAAATATGATAAACTGTATAATTTCCTTCATTTTCAATTAGTGTGAATTTAAACAAACACAATAACTGGCATTTCAATGAGCGAATGTTGAATCCCAACAATCAACTGGAAGTGCGCACAATTTATTAACATTTATTTGCTGTATAATATATGGTATTGCCGTTGTTGTTGTGTTTTGCATTATTCATCACATTTTTTGCATACTGCTTGTAGATACTTGTGTAGCTAGTAAAAATTAACATGTTTCCCCGCGAAAGCCACTGACCGTAAATGCTATCAATCGTAAAATTGTAATCTATGATTATAAAATGGGAAAAAAGTTGAGCGCTTTACGTTGCCGTTGTTGTAGAATGTTCCTAAAAATTTATTATCTCTAGTAGTTTTCTAAAAACATTCAACAAAGTAAAAAAAAAATATTCCACTAACTTCGGTACTCATAAATAAATGGTATTGCTGCGTGTAATTAAAAATATGTTGAATAATGTATTGATGCATATTTTTTTATACCCATCACGGAAGGATGAGAGATTTATTTTGTCAAAACGTTTGCAACGCCTAGAAGGGAGATTCAGAGATCCCGTACAGTATATGCATTCTTCATCGGCATCAAATTTTAAACCAATTTAAGAGAGTCCGTCTGCCCGTTTATTTGCGTCTGTGGTAAACTGTGGTGTCCCTTGGTCGCTAAAATGAGGCTCTCTTCAAATGTGGTAGAAACATTGGAAGTTCCTATTTGTAGCTGCATGCAGGTTGGTATTGAAATTGGAAAAAATTGATGGAAGGACACTGAAATAAAAACTATTTTGTTTTTTGCTCGTTACCATACCGGGCGCAACGATAAAAATTTTCATTTATATTCATTAAGTAGTCCTACAGTATCCAAAACAAAAATTGGAAAAAATTAGTCACGCCTACACAAGTTATAAGTGATCAAATTTTTATTTTTTCACTTTTGTTATTACTCGGAAGGTAAACAAGACAGAATGTTGAAAATTATTCCAATCAGTACGTTAAAGATGCTGCCATTAAGATATGCGCATGATCGAAGACCTGCTCTCGATTTTACGGTTAAACCGTGTACATTATATATAGAAAAAAATATAAATTGCTGCATATTTAATTTAAATATTAGGGGAAAAAGAAATCCATTATTTTTTCGGTAGATGGCTGCACTGATAGATTTCTCGTAAAGTATCGATCAAACAATTTCAGATTTATGCTCGTTGGAAAGGTGACATTTCGCAGTAAAAAAAAGTCTTTTGCTGTTTTTGTTTGGTGCATTCAGTTGTGAGTTACAGCGTGTTAAAAATGGAAGTGAACAAAGAGAAAATTCGGTTCATTTTACAGTTTTTCTTTGACAAACGCGAAAATGCAAGCCAGGCGGCTAAAATTGTGAATGGTGTTTATGGTTCCGATACTGTAACAGCCAATTATGTGCAATTTTGGTTTCGTAGATTCCGTTCAGGAATTTTTGATGTTAAAGATGCACCTCCCACAGGTAGGCCGGTCGTCGAAAATGTCGATAAAATCGGAGAAATGATCGAAGTTGACTGGCATGTTAGCAGTCGTAACATCGCCCAGGAGCTAAAAATCGACCATAAAACAGTTTTAAACCATTTAGACAAAGCTGGATTCAAAAAGAAGCTCGATGTTTGGGTGCCACACCAATTAACAGAAAAAAACATGATGGATCGAATTTCCATCTGCGAAGCCTTGGCCAAACGGAATGAGATAGACCCATTTCTTAAACGGATGGTGACTGGAGATGAGAAATGGATCACATACGATAACCCTGTGCGAAAACGATCGTGGTCAGAGAGCGGTGAAGCACCTCAAACGGCCAGGAAGGTTTTGCTATGCATTTGGTGGGACTGGAAGGGGATTATTTATTATGAGTTGCTTCCATATGGCCAAACGCTAAATTCTCATCTCTACTGTCAACAACCGGACCGTTTGAAGATAGCGATTGACCAGAAACGGCAAGAATTGGCCAACAGGAGAGGTGTCGTGTTCCACCAGGACAACGCTAGGCCACACACATCTACAGTGACTCGCCAGAAACTTCGGGAGCTTGGTTGGGATGTTTTAATGCATCCGCCATACAGTCCGGACTTGGCACCAAGCGATTATCATCTCTTTCTTGCATTGCAAAATTTCTTTAATGATAAAAAATTGGAATCTAGGGAGGATTGTGAAAATCGACTACTAGAGTTTTTTGCAAATAGAGACCAGGACTTCTATGAGAGAGGCATTTTGAAGTTACCTTTAAAATGGCAACAAATCATACAACAAAACGGTGCATATTTGACCCAAATCGGACAATCCGAAGCATGTTAAATAAAGTCCTTAAGTTCATATAAAAATAATGGATTTCTTTTTCCCCAAACTAATATTAGAACCTGATTATAGTTGTATTTATTAGATATGAGGTAAAGTTCCGTCGCTGATGAACACTTTTGCTTTTATGCGCTGTCAATTCTTAGCAAGAATCCTGATCCGGCTGAAACCGGTTTACACAGTAAAATTATTATATGATTGATGTGTGAGTTCCAAAAAGGGAATACCGCGATGGAGGCAAAAAAAAACTTGTATGACGTGTTTGGAGAGGATGCAGTGCTTTGGGAAATTTCGTTCGGATGATTTTTCTTTGCAAGCTGAACCCAGATCAGCAAGGCCTTTAGATGTCAATCACGAAATATTCTGCAGTAGGATCAGGAAAAATCCTACGTTAACTTTCACAGAAGTGGGCTTCAAGCTTGGAATTCATCAGACTGCTACTTTGGACCACATTAGAAGGCTTACTTTCGTGTCCAAATTCTCTTTGAGTGCCATACTGAAGATAAAAAGTGGATAGAGTATAAGTATGTGGTTAGAAAACAGACATAAGTTCACAAAGAGGAGGCACCACTGTCCAATCGTAAGGGTGTCCAAATGGCAGTGGAAGAGTACTCTCAAGCAGAGGGTTTGTTTTCAAGCGGATTAGATAAGCTGCTGAAACGCTGCCAGACATTTGTAACTAACAAAGAAATTTTGGATTAAATTTTATTTAAAAAGTGAAAAATAAATGGCTTTCTTTATAAAAAAAAAAAAACAACAAAACTTTCCCTCACACCTAGTAATTACGATATAAACCTAAACTTGATTTACATACGTGATAAATTTATTTAATAATTCGGCAAGAAAACATGTAATCTTGAAGAATTTACGTTATGGGTGGATACTGAATTTTCAAACGAATACTTTCATCATAAAGGACTTTCAAGTTTTATACTTACCCTTTCCACCATGGTTCTTGTTGGGTGCCAATTCCGAAGCCACCAAAGGAATTGAAGAAACTGTTACCCAAAAAGGGGAACGCTTGATGGAAAAATAAACCTGGCAAATGGCTGCTGCCACCGTTAATATCACCGCTTACCACTTCAACATCTTGGTAAAAGACGAGCAAAAGAATTTATACTCGGCCAGTTATTTAATTCTGTTTAATTAACTTAATCAATTCTAATCAATTACCGAATGGTTTTTCTTCGTTATGACGCCCAGTCTGTTGATTATTTTGCTGATGTCTTTGCTGTTCTTCCAGTGGTACAAACTCAGCTTCTGGTTCATAGCTGTTAAAAATATTATTATTAGATCTTTGTGGCCATGTTAATGAATATTGTTGTTGTAGTTGTTGTTGTGGTACTTGTAGTTGTGGTTGTAGTGCATATGGAGCAGTACGTGCAAAATAGCGTGTAAGTATAGGTGGATATGATTGTGGGGGTGGTAATTGTTGTTGTTGAAAAGGTGACATTAAAGCATGGTCCATAAAACTATAAGATAAAGATTAAACAAATTTGGAAGAGCGTGCAAAAGCCAAATTGTTGAAGGTAAGTAAATTAAAAAGCACATGGGCATGAAAAGCAAGCTAAAAAATTAAAATAAATTTAATTTAAAATTAACCCAATGTGTAGATGTAGAAGGTAACACAGAAAAGCTGCTTGTAGAATGAATCTTGGATACAAACTTCTTTACATATAAAATAGTTCAAATTTTATATTAATTGTTTGCCTTAGTTTTCAATGAGCAACAGTAGTAACTAGTAAGGAGTAGTGAGCTATACGTACATGCAGATAAATTGGACGTCGTTTCTATGAACAAATAAGACTCCGTGAACTAATTGCCCAACTATTCGCTAAAAATGTTTCGTTAAAAAATTAGTGAGTATTAAGATAAATTTGTTTAAAATTAATAAAAATCCTCTAATAATCTATGGAATGTGAAGGGTGGGAAGATAACAAATAAATTTAAATCCCTTACCACAGCTCGGTAAATATTTAAAACTAGGATGTAGTAGCATTTGGAAGACTACTCCGTCCATATTAAAAACCGTAAAATATTTTTTTGGTGGACACCTCATGAATCTATATAAAAATATCTGTCAAATTAGCAAAAAAACTTTCGGGAACTTCTTTCAACAATTTTTTGGAATTTGGTATGTCAGCGAAAAATAGATATGCCACAAAAAACACAAGATTGACACTCTAGTGCGGCCAAACTAGAATATGTAATCTATACCCACCTATATTCCGTGGATCTGGACGAAAATACCTTTTATATGATCAAAAAAAATGCAAACTTTTCTTTCGGCAGCTATTTTTACCATTTTTTGGAAATTTGGTGTGTTTTAAAGTCTTAAAGGGTGTTCTTTCCCAAGACATTAGGGTTTGAAAGTAGGCCAAAAATGGAAAGTATGGTTGGCTGATTCACGTTGAATGAAGGGTTGATCTCGGTTTTATTGACCTTTCATTCAGAGTACTTTTCACCAAATTTCGTTTTCAATAATTTGCTTCGGCTGTGTAATGCTTATGCGTTCCTTTATCTCAGGGATGTCTTCCAATTGTTTCATAAACTGTCCTCAAAATAAAGCTAAATGATTGCTATTGCCATGATTAGTTTGCAAGAGGAAAATTATGCGCAAGACTCTTAACACAGATTATAAATTCTCCTTATTCTTCCATTAATTTATACAAAACAAAAAAAAAACGATTTGAATTTTTTTTTAAGGAAAAATACCTTAAAAATTGGTTTACTGCCTCTCACCTGAACAATACTCATCTAATTAATATTCATAGAGAATTGTCAAGTAATTCATTGAGTTAGATTGAGAATTTATTTTATTTAATATTTTTTTATTATTTGTTTATTTTTGGAAAATTTAAATAAAACGTAAAAAATATGACGCATCCACATTAGAAAATTTATAAAATGACAGTCTTACGCAATAATTAGAGGGTGTTTGTCATTCGACGTGTTTTTTTTGGGATATGAGATATATTCAATATTCAGTATAGCATTTCAATTGGAGAATTTTATATTTAAAATTACTCCCTTCAGTTATGACAATTCTATACCCACTATCAAGGATATTCTAAGAACAAGTACGTGAATTTATCGATTGCTCGCCTTTCTCAGAAATTACTGCCAATTTATGAAAAACTTTTATTAAAAGCAACTGATACAATTTACATGCAATATAACTGGCGAATGCATCGATTTAATTTGTTAGTATTAGTCAACAAGTTTGCCAAAATGTAGCACATATCCAGCATTTGGAAAGCTTTCATTTGGCGTACTAATAATTACTTTTTCAAAGGCATTCAGTATAAACACACACCCAACGTCGAGGGAGGATCTATTCTTGAACACTCACGCAGGAGTTGGATTTTCTAGAAGAAGAAATAGAAGCTAAGAGTAGCTATCAAAATTTCCTTTACTTCCTTGTCGTTCACTATATATATTATTTTATTTTCTCCTTTTATTTTGTATCGTTACGTTACACGAAGCATTTATTTATCCATACATTTGAAATGCAAACAACTCATTAATATGCTAAAGCATACTACCTTCCTCACGACAAAACAATTTTGAAGTAAAGAGGTGTCTTCAACAGCACGTAAAGACGTAAATAAATAATAAAAAATGGTTTTGGTTCCAAAGTGTGCCAAATACAGATTATGATAAATAAGTGAACATGCAAATGAAGGAAGAGGCACATTTTGTCTGGTTTGAAGTTTTGGATACTCATTTGAAATTTCTTTTGCTCTTTCATAATTGATAAACAGGGAGATTTTATTTATATTTCAATATTATTACATAACATTTGTAACACTCAGAAAGGCACACAATGACCGGAAAAATATAATCAGCAGTATACTATTGCCTTACAAAAAGTCCTGCGTGAAAACTTATCGGCTAAATTTTAAACAAAGGAAATTTTTATTTTAAGTTCTTTATCACGTTAGTAGATGGGTCGATATCATTATTTTGTGAAACAGCAGCAATGTTCCATGAATCAGAACTAAGTCTGATTGCCTCGAACAAACTGTTCCAATTTTATCTCTAAATCAAAAATAATTTCGATAATTAGTCAGATCAGGCTTAAAATATAGATGTGACCTTTACCGAAAAATGCCCGTAATAGATGAAAAAGAGCAACTTATAATTCATGACAGAACTGGTTCAAAGCTCAGTAAAAATACTGCTAAATGTACTACTAAAAGGATCGGGTTTCGGACTGTTTAATCCGCACGAAATCGCAATATAGAGATAAAACTCTTTCTTAGATGATTCGCATAAATTTGCTTTAAAAATTGTGTCATTTCACTTAAAAAATAATCGTTGAAAAAAGAAAATTAATCAAAGAGCGAAGAAATGTTGTAAATATTTCAAAATACAATATTTCGCAAAAATAGTTTGAGATCTTAGAGAAATATTCACTAGAAACTCATCAGCAAACATACCATGTGACAATGTATGAACGAAAATGACTTTAAAAATTAGCATGCTTAGTCTTCTTACTTACTAGTAAAAATACTTGCACTGAAACTTTCACATGTTAGAGTGAGATTTTTCGGCCGATTACCTGATTCGTTTTGCATTTGTGATCAAAACGAATAAACTCAACGATTTCAAATCATATTAAAGCGTATAACCACTTGTGTATTCAAATTGAATCGTTTCATAAGCATTTCTTACATTTTGGCTATATAAGTTGCAGGGACATGGCTCGAAGAATCCCGCCGAAATATGTTTCCGTGTATACAGCTCATACCATATCAAAATAATTCCAGTATAAAAGTGCTTCGAACTAATTAAACTAATCATTGTGGATTCAGAGATGACGAACACTGAGATTTGCTTCGAAAACTTCTACTTAGTTAATGCGGAAATCGAACGTTTCTGCAAAGTTTATTATGCAAATTCCTTCATTTTTTCTACTGTGAAAAAAAAAACAAACGCGAATCTTCCCAAAAATTGCTAACATAAGCGAAAAATAAAAAAATACGGTTAACAATAACTGACGATACTTTGCTAGTTGCTTAACCTACTTAAGTGTTGGTAAACAACTCAACTAGTTTTTTTGTTTTACGTTTTTTTTTTTTCAACAAGCTCTCTGATCTTCAACAAAACTTGGCGTGAAGATGCTGACTGACTATTTAAAAAAATTTACCTTTGCTTTAGCATCTTGAGCCACGTTACATGAAAGAGCCTTGCTAATGCTGGCAAGATATTTTCTGGTAATATAAATCTTCACAAAAGATTCCAATAAGCATGAAGGAATACACTAAAGTTTATAACATTTGACATAAGCTTCTCGTAAATTAATGCTTTTAAGCGTGTATAAAGCAAAATGAAAAATTATAAAACTTCTTCCTTGTTATTCCAATTAGGGTCAAACAAAAGTCACACGGAGATAAAATAAATTACTTTACAGATTTGCTTTCATGCATATGTATTTGGCATTATTTTGCATTACTTTAAGTCAATATAAAAAATTTCACCGATAGCTGATAATGAAAAAAATAAATAAGGTTTGTTTTGATGTTTCTTTCTTTCATTTTACGTACGCTATTATAGTGGTACCTTTTTCTATCGTTTCGTTTGCAGCATTCGAAACCACATTTTAGAGATCTAGTTAAATGGATAAATTTCGCTCCAGGTTAACGATTTTTGTAAATTCCGATAGTAAGTAGTAATTTTCTTACGTCTTTCTGTAAAGATGTAGTAGGCAAATTTCTTTAAAGAACATAAAATGTTGATATGATCCAAATGTGATAACGGTGCATTGGGCCAAGGGAAATTCAAAAAATTGGATTAATCCAGCTAGAAAATTTAAATGAAGGAAACAGTCTCAAAAATGGTTGAATTTCTGTAAAACCAATTATATAATAGTCGGGAAAACATATATAAAAATTTGAAATCTTTTTATATAAAAAATCTAAAATCTGTTTCTGTTTATATAGAGTTGAATCCTTGACGATGAGTATCCAAGATTCGTTTTAAAATGAACGCGACTTTCTTACCTGGTATAGTTTTGCGTTTCATTTTATTCGTTACTTAAGAAAAGAAAGTTGAGAGCCATATATCTGTGAAGTTTGGCTAAGCACATATGCAGTAAACATCATTCGTTCATAGAGAGTTATTCTCCATATAAAGCTTGAAAGGTTAGTATGTATAAAACCAAATTGAGTAAAAAAAAAAGATAATTACACAAAAGAAGCTACAATATGTAACCCATAATACTATCTTTTGTTTGAATATCACGTATTGTTAAAAGTTAACAATATTAAATAAATTTAAAAAAAACTTTTAGATGAAGTCATTCTTTTCTCCAGAAATTTCTTATATATTTTGTCTTTTCTTTAAATGTTAAGATTTCACCTTTTTAAAAAATTAAAAAAAATGGTATGAGTTTAATTATTAATGATTTTACTGCATTAAAAATCCAAAATTCAACTTGAGTTTTTGATAACGAATACTAACATAAACCTGCTTTTTATCAAGTTCAATTTAAATATAGGTTCATAATGAAAACAAATTAAGCAAGTAATCTGTGTAAGCTTCGAAGAGATTCTTTGATTTGACGACTAAATTTATAATTCTCTAGGAACTAGAAATTAAAACATTGTCACAAACATTGAAACACTGTCGAAAAATATTTATTCTTTGTGGGTGTTTTTGTAAACGCGTACTGTTTATATCTTTATTATAATATAAAATTTGTCTGAACAAATGAAAATCTTTAGGCTGTACTGTGTTGCTGACATATACTGCTACAATATCAAACGGAGTCCTAGTCATAGAAGTGAGCTCATTGTACATTAAAACCGAAATGTATGTTCCGTTATGTTAGCTAGTTTTGTTAAATCTTCTTGATAACGTCCTGCAACTATAGCTTATCCATATGGTAGAACCATGTGTATACTTATAAAGAATGCTTTAAAAAATGAGAATTAACATAAACTGTTTTAGATCTTATGCAAAGTGTATCCAAGATTCGTTTAGGGTGTACATATGCCAATATGCCAAAAAAGTACCGGGATTTGTTTGCGTTAAAATACAATTTTTGCTCTACATGAATTAATTTACTTCAAAATTCTGTTTGTACTATATTTTCGAGGAAATTTTGTGATTTTTATATCCTACGCCACTTGCTATATAAGATATAGTAAGTTTGTGCGGACGTATATAACACCCGCAAGATAGACCCACTTTTTAGTATACCGATCGGTTCGGAATAATTTTCCATCTAAGCTTGTCTATCTGTCTGATGAGTAATAGCATTTCGACATTCAAAATTGGTGTGACCTGTGCCAATTTTTTGCCACACCGTTTCTACGAAAACTGAATCCTTATATGATAAAAATCTCGAATTTTCAATACTTTATAGTGAAATTGAAATAGACCAACATCCCACATCCGACCTTACTCTATTTGGACCACTTAAACCATGTTTTTCGGATACCATCGCAAATAAGTATTTTCAGGAAATATATACCCGTGCCCTTGTATAGAGAGGAAGTCTAATTTCTAATATTTTTTAAGATGGACACTAAAAAATAATAAAATTTTTTAGGAAGCAAATTAAGTTTATTAAATTTGGATCACGTCATGTGATGTTTTGGGCACTTTTCAATATTTGGAAAATGAGTCTTTGCATGGAGACAATGGATACTTTTTAGTATATATTACGGAAACGATATACTTCGCTATAGCAATGATAAATTCGTGGCAAGATTTCAATCGTTGGAAAATTGCTAAGGACGTTGTCTCCATTCTTGCAACCATCAATATAAAAAAGGGAAAAGTTTTGATGATTACGCTTTTGTTACTCCCGGTACTATCTAGACACAATGTATATTAAACACTCATGCTTATAATTGGAGCATACAGGGTGCCGCTACAAATTACAATAGAATAAATTCATAAAGGTTCATAAGTCGCGTTTGTAAGTGTGTTAATCAGTTTTCACTTTTGACCGACAATGTTGGATTGAAACCAATACAAAAACCGCAATGGCGAAAACATTCATTCCGAGTAGCATACGTATATATCTAGAAATTTATTTAATGAATGGCTTGAGAATATACATCCACGATATATTTAACAATAATGTTATACCCGGAAATGAACAGATAAACTAGGAATTTTTGCTCTGCAGAGAAACTTTTATCAAATTTAAATGCATAAATAGATAAATCACCAACATGCATCCGCACTACCAAAATGCCCACCGATGACAAATTCGCATACAAATAAGAGTATCTGACACACACAGCACATTACGGTTGCGTTTTTAATCGGTTCTAATGACATTTACTTGCAACATATGGATCATTAATCGGTGCAGTGAGTACATTTTTTCGGCCACCCTGCATATATTGTTTTTTCTATATAGTTACTGAGTTAACAAGCAGTTTATAAAAAATAATTAAAGAGCAATACAAGCAAGTAATTATAAGAAAAAGGTTGCTTAAATTTTAGAAATATAAACATTTATACTTACTCAGAGTAGTATTGGGTGTTTATCGAGCTGACACTAAACAGTGTCAGTGTTAGCAATAAAATGACCCCATTGGCAGCCATTACTGCTTAGTTAATAAAATTCAACGAAATTTCTAGTACTTCCGTTTGGCTTTTGCGATATAAATAAATAAATAAAATTAAGATGGAGACATAAATGTCAGTAAACACATACGTAGCATATGCATTCATTAATTGCAAAGTGCAACTGTAATTACCTTTTTTTACTATTTCTTACAAAATAAGGTCGTTATGAAATATAACAACAATTTCTATTGGTTTCGTTATTTACTCTTTCGCGAAATTGTTGAGTTTATGTCTTTTTCTTTTTACATGTATTTCAAATTTCAATAAATAGTTAACCACACATGCGTTTATGCGTTTATATAAAGGGATTAACTGTAAAACTTCACAATGACAATTTTATACTTTAAACACTTTTGGGCTTCGATTTATATCTTTTGCGTCCGTTCTTCTTCACTGCGCGTTTTAAATCTGACTAAAGAAAGAACTTGTCAGTGCCGTATTTATAATATGCGGTGCATGGTGCTCTTCGCATAATGCATTGTTGTATTGGTTTTTGTGTTTTCTTTTTAATTTTTATTCGTATCGTCTGCTGTGCGACAACAACAAAAATTGCTGTTCTTTTAGACTCATTTTCTGGTTAAGTTTATTACATATATACAGAGTAATTTTAATGTGAATATTCGTATTTCATGTCTTCCAGAGGAAAATTATTAAAGAAGATACGTTCACTTAACTAAAGAGTATAACACAATGCATACATGTGACATATCCATCGGGCAAAGCTGCAATAGCTACAACATATTGCTTTGCTGCAGTAAAATTATCTGGTGGTTGAAAAGCTGCCTATGTAACTTGCTTTGTTTAAATAAGCAACACTGTTTTAATGGGTTTTGAAGGTGGACAATCTATACAGAATCCATACAATTGTTTGTAAACACGTAAAATCATCTTATAGTTTTACGTTATAGCGCATAATGCTTGCATGCATTGTGAGCAGCGAAAAATACACTTTAAAGATTTACACCATTTGGACCATTTACATCGACGCAAGCGAGGATTATCCGGGAGGCGCCTAGCAAGATATGAAGACCAGGAAGTTGAACTAGAAGCTGACAGCGTAGTGCCGGAAATTGAGGCACTAAAAGATGTCGTGGGGAAATTGACTCCTCACCACAGAATTGTTCAACGAAGTGTATATCAATCAACAGGCAGTGTTTTCGCAGACGGAAGATATATTGTATGGATGCGATTGCGTCAACCGTTAACGGGTCTTAGTATGCTGATGAACTCCCACGTGGGTACTTTTGATGTGGGTCTACTAGAAGACAATCTCAAACTGGCGAAGGAGATTGGCTTAGAAGTGCGGGCTGTCATCTGCGACAGAAGTCTCGCCTACAAGGAAGCTGTACGCTCATTACTTGGTGGAGTATTGCTAAGTACACTTTCTGAATAAATAGAAAGCAGCAAACAATACGACCATTCGATAATAGAAAAACTATATAAAAGAGTCGCACCCACTTCTCTCTTCTGAGCCCGGAGAGTCGCCTTTCAATCGCCACGTAAATGGACTGGTTCAATTTTACAACGACGTGACGCCATCCTTGCTACAAGCGGCAATAAATGAAGATGTTTTTACAAATGATAGCGAAATTGCCAAGCGCACGTGCGAGGTCTTTGCGATGATGACAAAGTTCGTGAATATCTTTTATCGGAGCTCTGCTACGAACAAAAAGTGAGAGGAGCTGAAAGGCGAATTCCAAAAAGTTAGCAATTACTTTATGAGAGTTTTTGCGAAGGACGTCCTAGCTGTTGCAACAGAGATGACGATAAAAAATTCCACCTGCTTAATGGACGATTTGATAAAGGCTTACCCTGGCACAACTTTCGCCTCATACACGGTAAGCCAGCACCTACTTGAGAAATCTTCCTGGAAATGTGTTTGACAAAAAGGAAAAGGACTGTTAGTCTTTGTGTTTACATTATGAATTACTATTATACGAGATGGAAGAACTATTACGCTCCTCAAGGATGGTATGGAAAACCGTGCCAAATTGTAGGTTGTCAAGATGTCTATGAAAAGAGAGAGTAAAGGTACATTAAACTTTTAATATCCATGCTCAAGTGTTTAAGAAGATGTCATTCCAGGCATTAGAAATACGTGCAACCGATTGTATATCGGCATTGGCTGCCAACAACTTGCAATACAATCCATATTGAAGGCGGAACGAGAAAACTGTAATAATGTGGCACTAGATGCCCTGGAAAAATCCGCGCAACTAGACATCAATGATCATTTATGTGAACACTATCTTTCGTTGCAATAAGCTCTGCTAAATAATACACCGGAAGCTCTAGCGCATATACGATTTGCTTTACGTCGTCCACGTAAAGCCCTAACAGTTGTAAAAGATATTCTTGAAACATTTCCGCATAATTTAAATTTATTGCACATGACAGCTCTTCTTCAGTTGCGTTTACAAGACACTGAAATTGCGTTAGTTAGGGTGCAACCCATGTTGGCGCGAATTATATAAAGGTCACGTAGGTCACCGTTGAAGATGCAAAACAGTCGGATACAAAAAATGTGATTGTACACGTACCGTCTTGGTAAATGTCATATAAGGATTCAAGTAGGTTGAAATTGTTTTCTTCCGTATTTGGTTTTGTTTTACAAAATGTATTGGTGAAGACTTAATCAGTAAGTATAAGACTTTTTAAATTTAAATAGTTATTTTGAAATAACACTGTTAAGAGGGGAAGGATATAATAAATTGACATGAGTCATTACGAAACTTCACAAATGAAATAAATTTAATAGAGCTGTAAATATATACAAATAAGTCATAAAAACTTTTGAATTGCTATAAAATCAATATATTCTTAAAAATTTTAAAAGAGACAGGTTTTTATTCGCTGGTAATTGATTCTAAATTTGTAAATAAGAAATGCAACCCTACAAAGGTGGAAGCCCTTATTCAAAGTTGTAGAAGTGAAGGCAAATGGCAAAAGGTAATAATATAATATATTTAATATATCTGATATGTATGAACATCTACGGAGATATTGTGTTTACAAATCTTATAAAGACGTGGTTAGACTCTAAACATATTTATTGATATATTTTTTGTGTGATGACCCTTACCTTTTTTAAAATTAAAGTTAAAATTTTTTACGGATTTTAATTTACTTTTTTATAATGGTGCACTAAAAGACCACGAATAAATAACGTATGTCTTACAAATTTGTAATGCTACGCTGATAATACATGATGCGTTTTTTATATATCTAAAGCAAAATGTACAAATTTTTTAATAAAATATCCTTTAAAAATTGTACATATGCCGAATTTTAATTAAAAATTACTAAAAGTAATCAGAAACGTTACAAGTACTAACAGAAAATTTTTGAAATAACATCCCTTTGAATAGACATAAAATGTAGGAAAGAATGGTGCAAAAGTTTTTTTTTTTTTTTAAATGTATATTAGCAAACAATTGAACGGTTCGTGATAGCTGTTATCGCTCTAACTAAGTACGACAAAGATAAAATATAAATTAGTTGTATTCGAACTGCCACAAGTGAGGATACTTATAAATTTCAATTTTGTTGTGAATTCTGTTTTTAAAAAAAAGAAACCGTTATAACATTAAGATGGAAGATGTTAGTAAGAGTTATTTGAGTAAGAAAAATAATGAATCGGATGGTTCTTCAATCAAATTATTGGCAAGAAGCTCAGGTCAAGCAAACGATTTTGTACATATTCGGATTCGTCGTCTCATCACAGCAATGAAAAAATCGCAGTAAATAATTTGACCGGACGGAAAAGAAGCCTTAATCCTGGTAAAATGGACCGAAATGTCCAAAAGCATAACAGAATAAAAGGTTTAGGATACAGAAATGGAAGTGGATGTTTAAAATCTTCAAAAAACATCTGCTAATCTGTCATGTCGATGTCGTCAGAAGAGCAATGAAGAAATCATTTCGGATGAAAGAAAAGCTGCCATTAAGGCATTTTATCAGTTGGAGAGTTAAGTTGAGCAAAGTATTTTTTTAAGAGGGTGCATTAAAGTCAAAGAATTAAAAAGAGGGCGTTCGAAGGATAACAGTAAAACTCCGAGATCACGTTCTTTCACGTACTATTAAAAACAAAAAATATTCACGAGGCACAACTACTTTTAATAGACAACTGATGTAAACTAATATAATACATTAACACATGTCATTGCGTCTGAATCTCAAGTAAACTGCTTTACCTACTTTTCTTTTCGCATGATATGTAGCTTTCTCTTCAGAGCTGTAGCAAATCAATACGCGAGTTTTGTTGGAAAAGTTTAATTTTATTCAATCAGAAAATTTTGTCAAAAAGAGAGGCATTCAATTCATTCTTAATAAAAATGAATTAAAAAAAAAAAGAAAAAAATAATCGAAATCGAACAATTCCGAAAATTTAAGTGAATATAATTAAAGACGAGAAAGTTTATTGAATCAATGATCGTTTGTGTCTAATTGAAGCAACTCGAACCATATTTCCGTCAATTAAGAAAAAAAATAGAAAATCTTGAAAGGATTCATTAACTGTGTATATATAAGAAAAGTTGTGCTCCGAACTCGTCTAAAATAAAAAAAAGGAAAGATTTAAGAAATTTTAAGAAAAAGTATAAAAGAGTCGACGTCATTACTGGAAATATATTTTTATTTATTACTGAAAGGCTACAGATTGATGAATTTAGGGCATTCTTGCTGTCAATTGCCTACAAAATATATAGAAGAAATTTTAGAAGTGCTTGAATTTGCGCAAATACCTTACGGCCGTTGGGAATGTTACAGCAATCAAACGAAATTGTAAATGAACTTCATCTATCCAGTCTACTAACACGGTGCGCAAGTTGGCATTACTCCCTATTTGCCTTTCCAACTGATATTTGTCAGTTGGTAGTTCGAGCTACAATTGTAACAGACAATTCAACACAGATGGATAGGATTTTAAATCTTCAATTTTTCTTTTGAATTTAAGAGTTATTATTTTACAGTATAATTTATGAAACAAATTCTAATCGATGAAAGCGTTTCCGACAGAGTATCACGTAAATCGTTTCTTTATTACACAAGTTGGTGTATTTTATCCGCTAATTGTTAGTAATTTTCTTATATGTAGCATTTAATAAAATAAATCAACTTTTTTCCTTATTTTGTTAATAAATATGATTGTTATATATATATATCTATATATATATATATTTAATTTTTTTTAAACAAGAAAAAATTTGTTACAATTACATGATAAGATAATTTCTCTAAATGTCACTAGGCAGCGCAGTGGGCAGAGTGTACGAGACCGCTGGTACGCTTGAGAATTGATCTAGTTTTTGTCCGTCCGATATGGTTAATGCACACTCTTAAATTATATAGTGATAGAAAGATAAGGACAGTTAGAATTGCTTAAACCACCCCATTTGCCGAGCAGCTAGATCACAATG